TTTGCTACAACTAGTAGTGGGGGAAAAAAAAAGAAAAAGTCCATTAGATACTGGAAATATTGTCTTTCTAAAACGAGCAGATTTTTATTTGTGCAATGTCTAAGCACTGCAAATCTTAGCAGAAAATTACACTGGAACAGTGGGCGGTTCCGAACTGCTGGAAACTTTACAATGGCTTTTATGTTTAAACATCATTTACCAGCTGTTAAAGGTCAGCACAAATCCCATACTTTATCAGTATAAATGAAGCTTACAACTGCCAAGAAAACAATGCATTAAATAATGCAGTGATTTTTTAATTTTTTTTTTTTCTTCAGAAGTGAAAAGGACGTCTTAAGCAGTTCCATTTTTCTCCTCCTTATTTCCAACTGACAAAGCAAAACATTAATTAAATTATTTATACCAGAAATTTACTTACAGGGATGACACATTTTGTACACAAAGCAAGTAAAACATCTGACACATTGTATAGTGCCAGGTGCAGTTAAGAATGTGTAATACAAGTCGGCATCTAGAGGCTAAAAAAACCAACAAACTTGCTGAAATGTTTCATTATCAATTTTTATTTCCTACCATACACCAAATGTACAGCACAGAACACAATTTTGTTGTTTTGATGTAAGAAATATTAATTGTATGAAGAAACAGTATACAAACTACTCCAAATTAAAAAAATGCATACATCATTGCTCTTTACAAAAGGTCTAATTTACAGTATAGCTCATCAATGCATTTAAACACAAAAAAAAAATATAAAGAAAAAGAAAAAAAGATCAGTGCACGTTACAAAACACATCAAGTACAAGGGAGGGAAATAAATACAAACATACTTCACAGAACATCCTGATCAAACAACCAAACACAGATAAATTAACCTGAAGCCAGAGTAAATCATAATAATAAATACATAGGTCAGTAAGATATTTTTTTTACTTAAATAAAATATATAACAAATTTGTTAAAATATTTAGTAAATTAAATTTTAGTCTTTGTAATGAGTGAACTCATTTTGTATGCATTTAACAAGTATAACAAATGTTCACTTTTTGTTTTTTTTTTTTTTTAGCAAGTACAGTAACTTTAATAGCAAATTTTTTTGTTTGGCGTCCTCCTATTTATATTAGACAGCACGTATGGTAGCTTTTGAAAAATCCATTTAAAAATAAACACAGCTTCTAAGAACATACATTTTCCCCTGTCTAAACTAGTATTGAAGAGTTGAATCAACCCTCAAACAAAAAGCAAGCCCCACCTAATGCAGAACAGTGACCACAGTGCATGAGAGTTGAATCACTTTTGAATAGTACTTTTGTGCAGGAACAGTAATAATATAATTGTATATGTCAAGCCTGTGAATGCCATCATATTCAATCTAAATATAAATGAGGCTAATAAAAATAAACACTTTCATTATAGCACGGAAAAATTAAACACACGCTAGATCCATGTATACATTTACACTGAGGCACATATGCACATGAGGTGTGTGTGCATACAAAAAAGGCAGTTTAGCTGGTTGTTTATACCTTTTTCTTAAAAAAAATAAATATAAAAAAAACTTCTGAAACAATGCTTAATTACTTACAATCCCTGAAATAGACATTGCCTCGGTTATAGCAACTGCTAATTTCTGACGGATTCAGAAACTCTGTGCCCAGGCTAACTGGAGAGGGGGACATGCATGAGCACCTCTGCACCATTGCGTGGCCCCATCCCTTGTGCCTGCACGCCCTGTAGTGCCTGGTACCCTACTGAATGACTGGTAACCAATGCAGTGTCAGACTAGTCTTGGTGAATAAGGATGGGAGAAACCAATCAGCGTGTTGCTACAGTTCATTCAAAGAGAAGGGCAACCACAACTGCGCTGGAGTAACATTCCTCTCCAGACTGTTGCCTTCTCCACTGCCGTAAGTTCAAACCAGTATTGAATGCCATTTCAGGGGGAGATGTGTTTGATTCATTATGTACAAAATCTTCAGCTTGGGATGTGTTTGCATTTTTCAGTTTCAAATCCATAGCAATACTGGTCACTTGGTTAAAACCTCAATGTATCATACCAAAAGAGTACCAGTCCTATCAAATTATCATTCTTGTTTAGAGATAATTGTCATTTCCCTCCATGAGCTGACTCTGAAAAAAACTGCAGTGGCAAAATAAATCTGAAGTTCTCTTGAAACATTTTAAATAATCATTCGCATAGGCTAAATCACACAGCCAAGTCAAGTGCTTTGCTGATTGCTATATTTCATTATTGCTAACGTATTCTTTAACACACTGTTTTCCAGCATACTGTGCTTTTAAAGAGCCCGAGTTCCCCACTAGTGGGCACCATTTATCTTCTCATTCCGTGCATCTTCACATCTCAACGTTACTGCAAACCCATTTCTGATACAAAGCCATTATAAAAAAGCAGGATGTGAGGAAAATAAAACTAGAACCACAGTTCAGTCATTTGTAACTTTCATATTTTTTTTCTTCCTGTACAAACCCAGCAAGTTATTTAATTTACAGTATAACTTTCAGTCTATTTAAAATCCCATTGGAAAATAAATTAATAAACACATTTGTAAAAATATGGCAGGCTGCAAAAATGCTGTTAAAAGATAAAAAAAAAAAAAAACTCTTTGATTAGAAATAAATAAAAAATATAAAAAATAGTCGCACACACTTTTTACATTCACTTTACAAAAACTGAGTGCAAAAGAAGAAAAAAAAAGGAATTATACTGAAATAAATACTAACAGAGTGCATTGCTGTTAATACAAATAGTCTGTTGAGTTTTTATTCTTTTTCTTTTTTATTTTTTTTAAGTCAGCTGGGAAAAAAATAGTGCAATGTTGCAATTGTAAATGCAGCATGGCAACCTACACCCCTTAGCAGTACATGAACTCCTAACAGATCCATCTGGAGTTTACTGCTGTTAAGTAATTTCTGTTGCCCAGCAGCTTTCACATCCTACACATGGATGCCCTTCACTGCCTGTTTGATACTTTCCAGCAGAGCTTTGCATTCGGGGGAATAGTCCCGTTCCAGATTGCTGTACATGTCTGTGAGTGTATTTACATATGCTTCGAAATTCTGTTCACTGATTGGCCCCTAAATGAAGACAAAACAGATTATAATTGTAGGAGATAAAATTAAAGCAAAAACAAAACAAAACAAACAAAAAAAACCCGCCACAAACAAACACCCAACACCAAAGCAAGGAAAAGCAGTGATATGGCAAGTGGGGATAAGTCATAAACCTGATGGTCATCCAAACTAATGGAGGATTTGTAGAAATGGAGTTTTGTGTGCAACCACACACACTCCCAGCAAGAAAAGAGCTTGGAGATATTATCTTCAGTGTAAGTTTCTTTTCTATTGAGGCCTTTCCTATTGAGGCTCTGGGAATATGGCTGATGTCCATAACCCTGTCCTCACCTAATTTCCCAGAGCTTCTCTTGAGATTCGGAAAGGGGACTGAAATTCTGTAGACCAACCTTTTGTGGATTTGATCTGTGTTTGCAAGACATACAGGATGCGGAGTTTTTGAGAGGCTTTGCTGACTCCAGAAGAATCACAACACTGAGCTGGATGAAACAGGTAAAAATTCTGACTTAGGAGCTAACAGTGAATACAGATTCTTGTGAAATTTTCACACCTTGTGCAGGGTAAACATTGAGATAGGGAGGGACAGGGAGTGTCTTGCAGTACTGGGGAGAAACACCAGCGTTGGCTCGGTCTTGGAAGCAACTGAGACTATTAGCAAGCAGAATTCATGATCCAGCATCTCTGAAGAGTAAGTTAGGCTAAGGAGAGCTCTGCTCTCCAGCACTGCATCTACAGCACTCCTGCTGGTCCCTGAGCTTGCTCAGATGCTTCGGATGCTGGCAAAGCAGACTCAAAGAAGGTGTGAAGCTGCTGGCTGTGGTCTTACCATCTGTGGAAGTTGAATGTCAGCGAGGCTGGAGATGAGGGCTTGGCTTAAGCCAGCTAGCTCCTTCAACAGGCTCTCATTGTTCTGCTCTATGAGTTTGTTCTCTTCTTCTATTGTTTTCAAATTGCTCTCCATAGACGTGATCTACAAAACACAGGCACACAGTCACACGGACTCCTGGCAGTGCTGTAACTGCAGTTCGAACCTAAACTGGCCATCACTTCGTTGTGAGAGAGGCCACAGTGGAGCTGAAATTCAGGCACTTTTTTTAAGGATGGACATAACCAGTCCACAGAATAGTCACAACAAGGCAGTAGTTTGCTCTGAACCAATGGACCTTGCTGCAGGTTCACACTGAATCACTGCATTGGCAAAGCACCATGGTTGGAGGAGCATGGAAATGAGCTCAGGGAAGGAGGGGTCCGTGCTGAGCTGGGATAGAGAGTGTGGCCTCAGGGGTGGTGGAAGGAAGGAAAAAGGAGGCTGATGTTTGCATTGCTGTCCTGCTCTTACAGCACCCCTGCTGATCAACCACAATGGCAATGACAACGCTATTAGCAGCTGTGCTACTTTCCTGTCCTGCTCCTGGGTGGAGGGCAGAGCTGTGAGCTGCCTGGGATTAGTGACAGGGCTGAAAACAACAGGAGAAAAATACAGTGGGAAGGAAATTGAGGGGTTGAGCACACAATTGCAAAGATGATCTCCAACCAACAGAATGGAAACACAGGGTTTTTAGAAACAGCAGGAAAAAGCACCTGAGGTAGCAAAATGGTGTCCTTTTAGCATGAACGTGGTGGGCATATGCTGAGCCCTTAAGGGTTTTATGTCAAAAGCAGTGCTGAAAAACTGAAGGCGACAATGGCAGGGGAGCAATAGTCCCTGCTGCCCAGCTCCCCTGTGGTGGCAGCCCCTAGCCCTGCAAAGCAGGGAGTGATGGAGCCAGGTCCACAGGTGTTTTGCCCACCCTCTCCTTGTTAGGACTCCATCTCTCTGTCTTGCTTAAATCTCTTTCTCGCTGTGGCCTGGTTAGTCTTTGACATGCACCGGGACAGTCCCCGGGGGAAGAATCATTTTGCCTGCCTGCACCCCACTGAGGCCTCTTGTCTGGAGCATGCTTGAGGCAGCCTAACTTCTGGCCAGACAAGACTAAATGGAGGTAGAGAAAAGCCATACAGGGAACATGTTATTTCAGCTGTAGTTCATGCTTTGCTGGTCAGGCTGTCTTCACCAGGGAGCAATTTGGGGGGCGGGGGAGGGAGAAATCTGGTGAAATAAATTAGGCCATCTCTGTGCAAATAGCAAAGTGATCACCAAGGAGAGACCAAAAAAAATAAATTGTACAGAAGTCCAGAAGTTAAGGAAAAAAAAAAATACACAAAAACCCTCACGGACATTCAATTTGGAATAGATATCTCAGCAACTTTTGCAGTGTGAAGCCCGATCATTTAGATTCAGCACAGGTGGCATAAACTCCACCCGTATTTAAACTACACATGCTGTGGCTGTTACAAAAACAGCATGAATCAGCATTGCATACATGCCAGGAAGGTGCAAATACGGAGGGGTGTGGCTGCACTCTATTTTGGATCAGTTTAGACTTACATGCAGTTTCCAGACCTGTTCTTATTTAAGAACTTTTTTTCTCCAGTTTGTAGTGTCACTAAAATATTGAGCAAGTTTTTGCTCAATCTTTGACCTGGTTTGCCCAGGTGACTCCCCAGGTGCATGCGGGAATCTCCGTGTGGAGGAACATACCTGGCTCACTCCACAGAACCACAACCAGCACCTGGAGGCAATTTAATCCCATCAATTTACAAAAGAATGACAGTGAACAACTCTTTTCTCTAGCTCTCCCTCAAACTAATCTGCTATACAAGTTAGCAAAAGGCATCCATCCTTTACCAGGTGTTGCCTGCAGGCAAAGTTCAAACTATTTAAATAACTGACAGTGAGTAAACTAAAGTAGATTGTTTTAGGTACAAAATCAACTTGCAGTAAGATTCAGAGCATGTTTGTAAGAGGTGATGCCCTCCCTAACCCGGGTTCTTACAGCAGTCATGGGACTCTGTGGTTTGCTCAACAAAGGTTTGGTCAACAAAGGAAGATGAATGTTTTGTTTTATAAATATATTTATTTATTTATTTTCTGCTCACCGAGATTAGCTTTGAACTGCCATTAGCCTATCACTCACCAGATCTTCATGACAATAACCAGGAATTTGCTGCTTATTTACAGTAAACAAACATACAAAAGAGCTTGACAAAGAAAGTGTGTAGGATTTGGGTAGTTTTAATTGCTACAGAGTGAAGAGCCCACACAAGAATAACTGCATTTAAACATATAATTTACATATTTTATCTACTTGTTGTCTTTAAATAGCATAAGAAACAGTTAAAACTTTGGCTTTGATGTCATACCTGGGTTTGAAGTTTCATCATATCAGCTTCGATTTTAAGATTGGATTCATTCAGTTCCTTTATTTCCTCATCCAAGTGTCTGATTTCTTCATCACTTTCAATACCTGGAAATAGTTGAAAATACCAATATCAGATTTAAAGTGTCTACATAAAAATAGATATGTGAGTAGCAAGCTATGCTGTTATTGAATAAGAGGAAGGTAACAGGCTTTTGATCAAATGACTGATCCTTAAATTGTCTGTGAATTTGCTTTTACTGTATTTTTTTTTCTCCTAGCTTTAAAGCATCTATATAAACTGAAACATGTAAGGCATAATTAATGCTTTCTGAGTTTTTGTGTTTCTCGTTTCTTTTTTTTTTTTTTTTTTTTTTTTCTTCTTTCCAGCACAACATGAAACCACAAGCTCAAAGAAAGAGAAAGAAGAAAGAAAAAAACTTCTGGAAATGCTGGGAAGAGGAACGTATATAATGAAACATGAGGGAGTATTTACAATTCTGTTTTAGTTTTAAACAAAATGTAGAAGCAAGCCTCCTTTACAGGGACAGCCCCAGGATAACATCTCCAATAGTATAACTGCTGACTTCAGGAAGCTTATCTGTATCTGCTTCTGATCTTGCAAGAAGTTCTGTGGGGGCAAATCTCTATTCGGATTAATTTCCAGAAGCACAGTCTTAGATATGTGTGATAAATAGCGAAATCTAAATGATGGCAAAAGGGAAACTATCAGGAAGCTAAAATGCATTACAGAAAAAAATAAATAAATAAAAAGGAGGACTTCTACATCCTCACAATTTAGGTAGAGTAAAAAAAAATAAATATCTTCAGGTCTTTACTGAAAGCCCTGTCCTGAACAATACTGTGCAACTATGACTGCTGGCAATGCATATCCTTCTTTCTGCTTACTGTCACAATGAGACAAACTCTGCCTTCAGAAAGTACAGTAGTTGTTTCTGCTTTAAAACCTACAGCCCAGAACTGAGTCTGCTAGCAAGTCAACCTGGGAAATCTATCAGTAGCAGTCCCTGACCAAGAGGTAATGTGAACAGAGATGGGGCATGTCAAAGCAAACTCTTGTCCAGTGTGACACAGCTGTTTTGTTCAGCATTTGGAGGCATAAAGACAAAGTTCTCTTATTCCTGTCTCTTATCTGTTTAAAGAACATGGTATAATAAAGCAGATTCCTATATATTTCCCCCTATACCTATTTGGTAGTTGTTCCTTTACTTTTAGTTGTCAAAACACTACACTTAAAACTAAACCATGTCATATTCAAGTTGGGAGAAGTCAATTTCCACATCCAGTTTTTCTCTCTTCTATTTTAGTCATTAGTAATGTCAGCTAGTTTGCCTGATCTGCATCTATTTTTTTATTACTAATTACAAAATTAAAATTGTCTCCAAACAAACAAAAAAAATGTTCTGAGATAAAATGAGAGCATATGACAAATGTTGAGTTATCATGAGGTAAATGAAAATAATTTTTTCTCTCATGCAAAGATTCTTTTAATTCAAGTTTAGTTATTGCTAGAGACAACTGAAAGGAGTGAGAATTAATGATAGAATGGCATAAAGGGGCATAAGTATAAATGGGAGTCAGGGCCCTTCTATCTAAATAAATGTCATCATCTTTTACAAATCTCCTTACCACCACTTGCTTTAAGCTTGATAGTCATTAATTCTTCTGAAATTTTGCCCTTTTTTATGGCTTGTGCATTCAGAGGACAACCAGACAGGCTGAAACATATAGGAAAAAAGAAAACATTAGCACCGACTTGAAAATAGCAACAATCCTTTCAGGCAATATTATCATGCACTTGGACAGACCTCTGTACCTAAGGTCACATCACGATTGCCATTATAGCATAGCTTCAGGGAATGACATAACTCATAAAGAGCTATTTAACTGTATATTCCAGCTTGAAAATTGGCACAGAAATCTCAATTTATAAGTAAACAACACTTTGAGAATAATCAAAATAACATTGGGAGCTATTATCAAGTTGCATGAAGAAGCATTTATAGAATTCTTGTAGTTCCACCACTTATAAACAAATAAACTATTGTTGCTCAGAGGAAAGGGGCAGTATGGTTCTTTAAGATGGCAAGTTTACCATTCTTAAAAACAATTAGTTAATGAGATGCTTTCCATGGTGCACAACTACTGCATCATTTTGTTGATACATTATAATGATTGATACAATATTAACTCTGGGTATATCCTATAGACTGTAATAGCTTTTTTTGAATTGTTCTATTATATAGTCAGTTTGCTTTTTAACCACCGTTCACATTTAATTACGTTTTGTTATTTCAATGCTTACAATTTCATCAGATGGTAATTACCTGAGGCAATTTTTATAGCCCACTAAAGGGCTAAGATGAATTGCACTGTCATAATACTATCTTTATAAATAATAAGGAAACACCTATAAGCTGAAGAACTGGCTCAAGGATTTGGAATTTTTATTCAGATGTAACCAAGTAAGAAGTGAAGAAAAAATTTGTCCTATCCTAGCAGGATTTTTTATTTTTTTGTGTGTGTGTGTGAAACAAAATTTCTTAACAGACTTTTTTAAATAAAAAAGTAAAAACTGCTGAAGGTTTAAGTTAGCTTCCTGCCAGCTTAGTTAAAAGCCATACAAGGAAACGTGCTAGTTCTCCAGTTCTGGAATACTGTTTAGTTTCTCTGTCCAGAGCTGATAACTAACTGGAAAAAGGTCTCAAAACTATGTGTGACTTGTTGGATCTCAAGTGTGCTATGAAAGGATATAATATCATGAAACTATATTAATGCTGTGATCTTGAGTGTGATCCAGCCTTAAGTAGGACAGAAATCATCCGTAAGTGTGAGTTGCAATCAGCTGACATACTTTTTATGTTATTGGCTTGAAGCTTTCATATTGCTTAGAATAAATTAAATAGCCCAAACTTAAAGCTGTGTCATAATGAAAACACCTTAGCATAGGATACAGCTCATAAAGATAGCACTGGACAAATCCACTGCTTTGCATGTTTCTTCTCCATTACAGAGAGGACTCTATAACTTTACAAATGAGCAGTTCAAAACTCTTTAATTAATTTATCCTTCAGCATTCTTTGGATGGGCTGATTCCACTACGTGCTCCATATAGATAAGGCGATAGCATTAAAAGCTAAGGCTCACATGCAGGCTGTTTAAAATTTCACCTAGGGACTTATGGTGCGCATTTCCACCTGGGTAGCTGTATTTGAGGACTGGGAGCTTTCCAGCAGCAAACACCTCATAAGGAGAGGTAGGGTCAGAGCAGGCAATCTGACTCTGCTGCTGGTAGATTCAGCAAGGATGCAGCACCTTGTAGCAGAGAGGCCTGCCAACAGGTTACCCAAACTGGAGGACATTGTCTCAGCAACTGAACTAAGAGCTCTGTGTAACTGTGTATGTCTGTGGAGTTTACAGCCAAATAACTAAAAAACAAGTCTAGTCCTGAACTGGGAGTGGGCTAGGGCAAAGCCACGCTGGGACTTCCAGATGTGAGGCTGAGAAGGGGGAAGAAAAAAAAAAAAAAAGAGAGAGAGAAACAGGAGTGGCTCATCAAAACAAAGGGTTGAAAGGAAAGGAAAGAGTAAGAGTAACAGAGCTTGATGGGGGGCCTTTAAAAACCAGATTTCAAAGGCTGTGAATTTTTAACATGGTGTTCTGTTCACACTGCACTTACTCTAACTGAATTTGTTCAAGTCATCTTAGACATTCTTGGAGAAGTTGATTCAGAATGTTAGAAAAAAAAATCAAAGGAGGCATAGAATAGAGATTTAATTGCCATTATATGCGAAAGACAAAAATTTACCAGGTAATAATTCTGAAGCCATGTACTTTGAGTAACATCAATTCAACATGTTCAAATAATTTCATGTTTTCACAATGATACATAAAATCCTGGTGTTTATTGTTACTGGTATATGTTTTTCCTACTTTGTAAGAATAGTTTTGTTTTAAAATTGATGTAACTGCAAACTGATGTAACCCATAAGAGTTCTACACATTTTGTGTGTGTGCGGTTCTAGCTATTTAAATACAAAATTTATGAAAACAGCTTTTCCACTGGTAGAAAGATTAAATGAATGCAGCTATTCCTCTTGCTAAATCTTTTCTGTTGACATTTCAATGATATTTGCATTTTCTATAAAAGATATATAGATACAATTCCATATTTGCCTAAGGAAGAACTCTATTAAATTTTAAATCATATAGAAACTGTGGTAATCTGAAGAAAAGACCTTGGAAAGTCACATTGTAATGGGAACATAAAATAAGAGTTAAAAGTTTATCCCAGCTCTCTCAAACTTATTCTGACCAATATCAGCTGCAATGTAAACTGTCTTGTTACTTAAATGACCAGCACAATTTATTCAGACTGTAATCTCATTTGTTGCCATTTCAATAGTGGAATGTTAAGGAAAATGAAAAGAGAAAACACAAAGTTATACCTTCTGTGGGTGACAAAAACATTATTAACATGACCCAGCCCGTTGCAGCCTGGCAAAGGACAGTGTGGCAGCTCTTGTTTGTTCAGTTTCCAGGATAGTGAAGACCCATTGACAGGACTCTCCTTCTGTCTCTTGGCAGCCAAAGGACAACCAGAAGCAGTGCGATGAGAAGTGTATTTACCTGATATGTGACCTTGGCCATCACAGCCTATCACTGGACATCTAAAGAAATACAGCAAAAGAACCCATGTTTTCAATAGAGATAGAAGGTGAAGACAGGCTCAAGAAAGTCTGAAAAAACACATCCAGCTGCCTATGCCACTTTGCACTAATTTTTAAGACTCGATCTCCTGGGACTCACTCTACCTGAGCATCCAATTCACGTCAAGATATTTTGGGAGTTCAGTTGATTTTAAGATTAGGCAATTTCAAGTATACTTGGACAGCCTAAGAAACTAAACAATTCATTTAGATATTGTTTTACCGGAAAATAATTTTGAAATTCTATCACAGGCAATAAATCACAATCTACAAGTCTATGAAAAGTCACCATTCTCTCTTCTCTATCTATGTTTCTGGCATAAAGCAGAGGGTAGGTTTTTATATCTGGAAACCTTGTACTGTCTCATGCAAATACTTGCAAAGTAAGTTAGTTTTATTAATCTCTCTACTTATCTATCTATTCATCCATCCATCTATCTATCATAGAATAATTAAAGATCATCTCCAAGATCATCTGGTCCACTCATCACCCTACTACCAATATCACCCACTAAACAATGTCCCTAAGCATCAGATCCAACATTTCCTTAAACACCCCCAAGGATGGTGATGCCACCACTTTCCTGGGCAACATGTTCCAATGCCTGACTACTCTTTCTGAGAAAAAATGTCTCCTAATTTCCAACCTAAACCTCCCCTGGCACAACTTGAGGCCATTCCCTCTAGTCCTATCACTAGTTATCCGTGAGAAGAGGCCGACCCTCAGCTCCCCACTCCTTCCTTTCATGCAGTTGTAGAGAGCAATAAGGTCTTCCCTGAGCCTGCCTTTTCTCCAGGCTAAACAACCCCAGTTCCCTCAGCTGCCCTTCTTCCCCAGTTCTAGGCCCTTCACCAGCTTCATTGCCCTTCTCTGGACACATTCCAGGGCCTCGATGTACTTCTTGTAGTGAGGGGCCCCAGACTGAACACAGTACTTGAGGTGTGGCCTCACTGAAGCTATTTATTTTTGTGCTGCTTTGTCAGTGTTATGCTTTCTCTCCTATCATTAGCAAGCATAAAGTACAATATTGAGTGCAACTAAATCTTCACATCTATATTCTGCCAGTTATCACTTACTGTTTTTAATGGAATCCACACTCAAGTAAGTCATGCAGTGAATTTCTACTGAGTTTTCAGTTTTTGCTTTTAGTGAAAATTTTACTGTTTAAAACAAGAGAAACAATGCAAACAAATACAGCAATCCTTCCTCACTGCTTAAGCTCCAAGTTGATGGACTCCATCAGCTTCACCAGAAGCAGAAACATTTGGTTTGGCTCCAGCTCTGGGGCATATTCTCAGATAGCTCAGATTAAGTAGGTTATTTCCTATAATGTATCAACTCCTGAACTCTTTTTTTTTTTTTTTTTTTTTTTCTTCTCCTTTCACAGCTAGTAGACCTGTGTTTTTGTACTCACTTTAGTTCAGGGTCTTCTTTTTCTTCCTTGGTAGGAGTCACTTTGATACCACCTTTCCTGGCACGGGGACAACCAGATAAGCTGAAAGAAACACACAGAACAAAAGCCACTTCTCTTGACGCTGCTTGGCAAGAACACCAACCATTGCAGTCCCAAAACATGGGACAATTCCTACCTTCTGTGTGATGCATAGTTCCCAGTCACATGGCCAGAGCCATCACAACCAGGTGTAGGGCACCTTTAAAATAAGACAGGGAGCTTACAAAACATGACTTCAAAGATAACAGTAAACAACATGTACCTGGTGCATTTTGTCTTGAGTGGAAGAAAGAACAACACAGCTTTTGTTGGATAATTAAAACTAGTTCTTATTTATTTATTTTTTTCTAAATGAGAAAATTGCTTTATTTTTTTTTTTCTTTTATAACTGAATTTTAGTAAGAAAAATGACATTTTTCATAAAATATGTACATTTAAATACTTCATAGCACTATTTTCACTGAACATTATTCCATTATTCCTTGTACAGGGTCAACATTCCAAAAAAAAAATAAGCAGATTGATACAGATCTATTTGTAAATTTACTGTTACGTGTTTGTTATCCGTCTGATGTTTACATACAGATACAGATATAAATAAGCCCTTTGCCAGTATTTACAGCAGGGAAAATGGAAGCAGAAAAGTTGTTTTACTTTTTTGGACATCAATAGAGTTAGTGTAATAGCCAGAATATGAATGCAGTGGTTTCTATATTTTAGCACTGTAACCATACCTCAGGACTATATCTAACACTAGATCCAATTGGGTATTCAGTTTGGCAATCAGATTATGTTTATGTCCCATCTTTAAGGGTTTTTTGTGTATGTGTGCAATGTGTGCAATGTGCAGAAGCCTTTACAAGTATGAATGTTTAATAATAAAATGTCCATACAATTTAAAGACACATTCCTGCCTGTTAGTATGTCATTGCAGTTGGTCTGGGAGTGTAGGCTCTGCACTCACTAGTAGTGCATGAAAAATGTGCTCCAAAAGCCCACAGGAGTCAGTAGATCTTTTCATTGACTTCTGCAGGTTTTGGGACAGGACCTTCCATCTCTGAAAGTAATTTTTCAGAGAGTGTTTTTTTTTTTTTTTCATTTGAGGGTATTGAATTTTTGTTTGTGTGTGCTTGTGGTTTTAGAAGAGAATCATGCCTCAACACACAAAGCAGTATAAGCAAAATATTTACCTTTAGAAATTGTGCCAGCCATTTCTACATTTCTGTGTTGTACAGCACTACGTTCTTGTGTTAACTATCCCTAAGGGCCTTTTGAATTCTATGATTTTTACAGAGTATCAGAATAACAGGAAGAGTAGTGCCAAACAAACATTAAGGAAGCTTGCGCTGTTCAATACTCTCATAAGGGTCTCAGTTGTTACTGAATCTGTCCTGAGAAGAGGAGATGAGTGATTTAATCAGGTTGTTGGTAGGCTGCCATGGAAAACACCTACAAATATAATTGTAATGTCACATCTGAGTATGCAGGTGTATCTCTTAACAGAATATGTAAAAATGTTTCTCTGTAAATGATAAATTTGTCAAAATTATGATTTCTTTTGGACATGACCAAATTTATTCACTGATTGAAGTGGAATTCAGCAAATAATTTCAACTGAATAAAGGGGAACCTTTTTTATTTAAATGTCAAAACATTTCATGATGACATTTTCTGAACAAAATACTTTGGCAGAATGCTATGCTTCACACTGACAGTGAAGGTAGAGGTGTGGGTTGCAGAGTGCCAAATATGCTTGACTGTAGAACTAAATGTTGACCTGTATGAGCATGGGACAAGGACTGGGCACAATGTTATGTGGAGCAGGCAGCAAGGGCAGATGTCTGGAGAGCATGAATGCTCATAAGTAAAACCAGAATACCTGCCAAATACTATGGGTATTAATTTTGGCTACTTGTTTTATCAGATGATCACAGATGGAAGAGCTGTCCACATAGACTGGACATGGATTTTAATTCATCCAGAGCTCTTTATGGGACACATTCAGATCATGAGTCTGAGAGTTATGGACTTAAACAAGACAGTGAGCTAATTTTGAATCTCCCCATCTGCCTTTGCCACTCCTGACAGTGGTTAGATTGAACAACCGGATTAGTATTTAAAGTATTCTTTAAAGATTTAAAAGTAATTTTTAAAGATTTGAGAGTGAGATAATTTCAATATTGATTAAAAGATGATGTTTTAGGCAGATTACTGACAGATTTGTAAGAACCTTCACTTGTAAGATTCCTGATCTTGATCACTGGGTCAGGGTTTCTAAATATTGGTTATAATTTTGTATGGACTGTGAAAGTCCACAATACAAGATGCACCAACAGTGTATTGCCTTCCAGTCAGTAATACTGTGGATCTTCATCAGCTTTTAACTGGCTGATGAGTTTGGACTGGTGCCTTATCTCAGGGAGTCACCCTCTGTTATGGAATCCTGTACAGAGCCAAGAAAAACAGATTTATTTTGGAGGATCAGAGGCCTCAAGAGCTCAAGCTAAAAGATGTCAGCTCTCAAGTCAGTGTAGGTTACAGATTCTCTTATACATCAAGTCAGTTTTCTAAGAACAAATCTTACAGTGATTTCACACATAAATTTTTGTAACCATGCACTGAGTACTATATTTTTGTGCCCTTCTCAAAGAGGGTTGCTCTATCTTTAGGTAGATGAACTACAACTTCACATAAAATTGATATACCGAGCTGCTGATCTAGCCGCATTTCTGACACTTTTACTCACTGTAAAGGTTGTAGAAATAGTTAGATAGACTCTTTAGTTATGGAAAACCCACAGAGGTCAGATAAGAAAGGTATTGACTAGAGAATATGTGAGGTTGTTTATGGAATATATATAACTATCAACTTGTATGAAACCTATCTAGAAGAACTGGTAAAATCTCTCCTAATAATTGATATTTAACCTGTAGAACAAATAATCTGAGGATAGGACACTCTATCTATTCCCTAAAGTTTCTGAAATGTAATAAGATATTTTTCTAAAGTGCACTTTTAAAACTTCTTTAAGGTTTTTGAAGCAGTTCTTTGGTGAAATGAGAGTGTGAATCAAGTTAATAGTCACAACTCTCCCTTATAGCTTTAAAATCCATGAGTCATTATCAACATTTGTACATTTTAATTTGACCAGCTTAGATTGCACTCTGCAGCGAGAATCCTCAGATATAAAATTTATTGAATCTAACTCCAAAGTTCACTTTTTGAACAGATCTTCCTTATTTTCAAACTGTAGATCACATGGAAGCCTTGTATCTTTGCTGGCTTAGAGATTCACAGTTAAAGCCAAAATCCTGTCTTGATTCTGGCAAAGTAAACATGACTAACATTTGGAAAAAATACACAGCTTTTTCATATTCACAACTAACTACATGAGGGTACTTTGGTGGCCTGATTCTATGAACATTTATGCCCTTTGCTCACATCCCTGTGAAGTAAAACCAACAACTGATATTGCTATACTATACCAGTATGGTATGCATTGCAGCTTTTGGCATTAGATTTCATTTAGACTACCCTTTTCAATATCAGAGTTTTGTTTAAAATTTCACCTGAATAATGTTTGCAGGAAGCTAGAATACGGTGGTACATTTGTGGAAAATAATTTTATTTAGCCCTCTTCCCTTTTGCAAATTGTCTGTGAACAGATTTTGATTTTTGCTCTTTTTCTAGCTAATTGAAATTAAATGCTAAGTGCGTTATGCAACATATTTCTGTCTGTGAAATGTTCATGAACTTTGACTTTGTCTTTCACAACTCACTTATTATACATGGCGTACAATGTGCAGTTTGTCATTTAAGTCATATGCTGTTGCTCCTCTTTCCTTATGGCATGACCAAAACTCTAGAAGCTTTAGTGGAAAAATAACCATATTGGTATGCAAATTTCCTTATTCACACATGAATATGGGGGGAGGGGCTGCATGAGGAGCAACTATTCAAAATATTTGTGTGAGTGTCTATGTATGGCAGAAAGCCAACAAAAGCAGGGACAAATATATATGACTCAGCAAATGATTTCAAATTTGTCAGCATTTTCACAAGTCAGTTCCCTGCTTCATGTGCTGCTCT